TGCAGTTCTGGTTCTTCTGAAAAGCCCAGGAGGAGGAATTCTATGAAATATGTATAGTTTGCTTCAGCCATGTGGCTGGTGCATATGCTGGGAAGGAAGAAAAGGCAATATTTATGGACAGCCACTTGCCACCTCAAACACTTGTCACTTTACAGAATGATTGATGGATAGATGTTCTTCATTGTCTACTAGATGCAGCCCATGATCCTGATGGAATCAGCCAAGTATCTCACTTTTATTTTAAATATTTTACATGAATAATTATATATTTTGAAATGTGTTCAACAAATAAATTTATATATTCAGAACTTTTAAAGTTAGAGAAATCAGTGTAACAGCATTCTTATATGAATCTATGGATCAACACATTTTTTTAGATGAACCTTCCAAAACATTTGAAGACATTTCATAATCTTAATTTTTTATTTATTCTGGAAACTCTGTAATAGTGATTAAATATAAATTAAATCAAGTTACCTTTATTATTTCATGTGGCACTTCAAAAATTTTTGAAAGTTAACACCACTCCCTCATTTTTAGAAAATTTATTATTATTATTACTACATTTTGAGCATTAAAATGCCTTGTGTACAATATCAATAAATGTTTTGTGTTATTAATAATATTATGAAGATTGAACTTTCCATTTATGGTAATTGTTTAGATACCTAAATTTCTCAAGGAGCTGTATAAGCTGTGATTTATAAATTGGATTCTTGAGTCAAACATTCTTAAATGCACTTGTTATTTCATCAATACACCATACATCTGTGTGATCCTGAGAAAATAATTTCAACTCTGAACATGTGATTCCCTTCTACATTATTAGTCATGGATACTCACCATGAGGTCAGATTGGAGGAAGGAATTAAGGGGCATGTGTGTGACTGCTCTCCTTGGGTAGAGTTGCGAGTGTTTCATACTCATGAGCTGCTGTTCTGAACATCACAATAAAGCTGTCCTGCATGAGTATCGGTTGCCAATATGCCACTTAACTGGGGCATCCACTGAGGATCAAATTTAACATAAATACAACAGGTGTGTTACCTCTTGTAAATGCCACGGAGCACTTTAAGCGCATGAAAGAGACTCTTCAGAAAATTTGATCTTCAAGGAATAGTAATTTCAAGCTTACTGGAGAAAGATTTTGAGTTGGGGGAAGAAAAAGAAAAGCATGCAAACAGCAAAATGTGATTCAGTAGAAAATAAAGTACCTAGCAAATTCAGAAAATTCACCTTCATAAGACTACATAAACATTTGGGCCATTTTAGAGTTATTATTCACTGTAAAGAACAGCACACACTTCCTCCTTTGCTCTTACTCCACCTGCCTCCTTGCACAGCCCTGAATCTCTCCATTGGCTGCACTTGCACATACCCTGTCTCCAGGATCTCCCTAAAACATTCGTTGGGATTTTGCAGAAGCTGGGACCGTACTTGTAGGTGAGGAGCAACCGGCATGTTTAAAATTACTAGCATCTGAACTGCTGAATTCTCAAGAGTTCCTCATTAAATAAATTGTTCCATTTTCTTTTGGCTCTCCAAATAATCAGCTTCCCTAGGGTGCAGAGAAGATAATAGAGCAAAAACTTCTAAGTCAATTTCACATCTATGTAGAGAGCAATAAATGAAAATGGTATTATTCCCTCCAGAAGGAGACACTGTTTTTTTCTTTTATTTGATTTAAATGTCACAAGCTATTCCCAAAAGAAAGTAATTTCTACAAGGCACCAAACCTAACAATAACTCTGCGTAGAGCCTCCCGTGAAGAACCTTTGAATGTTTGCAGAACATTTTCTCTCCACAATGTAAGTTTCTTAAAAATGTGTTAATGCAGTTAGTGAAGTAATTGTCATTTTATCCCTGTAGTTGTAATACTTTTAAAAACAGAGATATGTGGTATATACGTGGGATTTCTATATACACCAGCAATATGATGAAATATATTCTGCTGTTCTTTGTTTTCTAATTTTTATTGATTTAGTTTTATTTCTTTAATTTTTTGAGGGATGGAGGATAACTAAGCAGACAACGATTCTCTGTGAGGTGAAAGAAACATTCTATGATTGCCATGAGGGCTGTACACGTCTATAAATATCCTACAAACTGTTGAAGTGTGCACTTGCAATGGATGAATTGCCTCACAAAAGAAGTATATGCCAATAAAACTATTTGAGGGAAACTAAATTCAAAGACATCAGCAAGTTTATTTTCTTGTGGTTCAAGTAGCAGGAGTAGTATTTAAAATAATGCATTACTATTTTTTAAAGTTATATACAGGACGTGATTTCATTTCTCCTAAGAAAATGAAATCATTTGGAAGTGAGTGTGTGTGTGTGTGTGTGTGTGTGTGTGTGTGTGTGTGTGTATGGCTGTGTGTTGTCAAGGATCCAAGCCAGGCCCTCACGAATGTTAGATAAGTGCTCTCCCTCTGAGCTATACCCCAACCCTGGGTGGCACTTCTTGATTGTGGTTAGGAAAGCACCTGTATACTTCAGTACTACCTAGTTACAGTGTATTAGCACCAGGCAATTCATCAATCCTGTAAGTCCATACACTGAGGCTTATGGAACATGCTTACCATAAGGTAAACATCAATATAAAGGTTATTTTAGGGAGTGCAAGTACACCTCAGTGGTAGAGTTCGCCTAGCATGTACAAGGCCCTGGGTTCCATCCCAAGCACTGAAACAATTAATTTTGATTACTTTCTGTACGAATCAATATGAGAAAGGAAACAAAGATATTTTATTGAAAATAGGTGATCAATAAGATGAATTGAAATTTGTCATAAACTCTATTGCTGCATTAAATAAATTTTTATTCTCTATGTGTGTGTGTATACAGAGGTCTGTCCATTCAATAAGTTATTTTTCTAGAAATTTTGTTCAGCTCTGTGAATAAAAATGTGGAAATGAAAAGATATTTCATTTCTGTATAAATATTCATGTTTCATTCAATGAATTTTTACAAAAATAATAGAGATGATTGTTAGACATAAAATTTGAGTGTGGGTTGCAGGTGTTCATTATTACTAGAATCGCATAGCAGACATCAAGTGCCAAGTTCCATCCCCACTGCTGTAATAACAGTAATAAGAGACAGGAGATAAAGAAGATTTCTTTCTTTCTTTTTCTTTTTCTCCTGCTTTCTTTCCTTTCTTCAGTTTTCTTCTTTCTTGTTCCTATTTTCCCCCTATTTTTTTTGTTCTTGATTGTTCTTATGTCTACAAGAATGTGAATATAGTTTCTAGTTCTCCTGTTCCCATTTCTTTATGTTCTTGCTTTTATTCCTTCATTCTCTCTGACCCTCTTGTCTTCAGCAGTTTCCCAAAGATTACATGATCTTCCTGCATGCTCTAGCCCTGCTGCTAACCTTTCCCCTTCCTTGTATTTCTCTTTCTATCTCTGACCCAAACCCTTTGAATTCTTTTTTTTCTGGGAAGTAAATTCACTATACTGTAGAGCTTATTTACTGAAAACATATTTCTGGCTTATCCTTGGTTTTGATATGTAACCTCAAATCTACTTCATGTTGTGGAAGGTGATGGAAATATAGTCAACACAGGTTGTCATATTCTTTTCTTTTTATACTGAGGATGGAACTCAGGACCTTGCATTTGCAAGGCAGGTGGCAGCACCACTGAGCTAAATCCCCATCCTAGTTCATCATTTTCTAAGTTGTGTTTGAAATTATTGTTGATACTGATTTTATTACTTTGACCAAGTGATGTGATTAGTCTGGTAAGTTGTTCTTCCTGGTATAAAAAGACTGAGATTGCTTAAGGGGCATTACAGAGGGAAAACTCAAATGCTAGCCCTACATGGAAGACATTTCAGAGAAGTAGTCATTCCCTATGTGTTCTAAATACTGGCAATAAATATACTCACAATAAACAACAAACAAACATCAAGCAGGAATTAAAATATATTGACAGGAATTGATAGAAGTGAGAAGACACATGAACAAGATGAAAACGAAGACTTCCAGATCAGCAAAAGCAAAGCCAGAGGGCAAAGAGAAGAAACAGTCTGAAAGCCATCCCCGTAGCCTACCTGAACTGCTAACAAGGGAGGTAATGAAGGAGGCCTGGAAAAAGTGAAACAGCTCCTTTTAAAAGCACATCAA